AGTGACGCATCGTTGACCGGAAAGTACTAATAGATTTGTATTGAACTCTTGTGTTCAAGGCAAAAAAGCTTCACGATGTAAAGGGAGCTGGAAGCAAGCTAGTCGACGCTCTGTTTGGCGCCTACTTCAGAGCTCAGCGTGTGAGCCTGGAGAAGAAGCGAAGACAAAGAGACACCCTTCGGGACGCTCCCCCAATCCTATGGTGCTCTCCACCGCTTTCGAAGAGCCCAACCAGGGCACTGAACGTTTTGTTCCACTTTGTCGCCCAGCGCGCGAGTAGTCGTTCCCTGCCCAACGCGAGTGCGTGGGAGCGGAACGAGTGCGGGAGGAACGACACCAGCGTTTTGTTCTATGCTCTCGTACCTTACACAGACCGTCGGTCGACAAAATATGTGTGAAGAAGAGTAAGTGGTTGAAGCAAGAGGGCGAAGGAAGAAAGGGAGTGAACGGCGCGGGCGCGTTTTTCGGCGCCTGCGCCGGGGTGACTCGCTCACTTCATCAGCGGCAGACAGCGGGCTCGCACACAGCACAATGGTGTTGGTTGCCAAAACGTCTGTCAATCTAACAGAGTCCAAGCCATAAAGAGAGCTTCACCTGTATCTTAGCACTGGCAGCTTGGGCTGTCTGCACCCTTCGTGCAAGCCCCGAACACGACACGTGTTCTGCTGCTTCATGCTTTGCATCAATCTCTCGGTATCATCAAGACCGTTTTCAGTCTAACAAACAGCTTCAAATTCCCTTCAAGTAATCACGCAGCTGCTGAGCATTCTCGTAGTACCTTCTCACCTCGCCCGGGACTCTTGTTCTGCCCTTCTCCTCATCTGACGAACTGTTCGCAACCGCTACCCGCTCTGATGTATCCTCCTCCTCCTCCCCTTCAGGACCCACGTACGGCTCCCACGAACACCCTATCATTGGTCCGTCCGGATTCCCTCCACCCGGATCTGAGGCGTCAAGCATCTCATCTGAGATTGCTTCGTCTCTACCAAACTCGGCCTCGTACGAAGCCAAATCATCGCGTTGGTGTAAACCCAAGGCTCCAAAGTGAGGGAAAAATCAGAGTCAAGCCCGAAGGGTTCGCTCGAGACATCGATGCCCTCCTCGGCCTCCCCCAGGATCCTTTCGTGCTCAATAGCCTCTTCGGGGGTATGGTACGGAGTCGGTGATCGGAAAGCCTTTAAGGCAGTGAGGTGGGTGAGAGAGGAAGAGGAACGAATTATGTATGGAGAGGAGTTCTGGCGGCGGAGACGGCGGCGATCAGGAGACGAGGAAGGAGGCGGTGCTGGCGTCGGAGGACCGATGGAAGTGCTGAGGGCGCGATTGAGCGTGGGGGAACTTTTGGAATGTCACATCTGACCCTCCAGTATTCTCCTCTCCTGAAGAAATAAAATAAACAAGAGCATTCTCAGCCAAGCAATTTGTGCGCTCACCTGCGTGGCACGTTGCTTGTGCACAAGCTCCTGGTTGTGCGCGGCAACTTGCGACAGCAGCCCATGTTTGACGCCAACAGGCTCTGTGGAAACATATGAACTTGAGAACAATCACTTTAGAAACGTTAGAACTCAAAAGTACCTCCAGTAGTTCGTGAGATGTAAGCCTCGGGCCCCAATTCATCTGATAAGAGCATCGCAAGTCTGAAATAGTCGACAGCTTTGACCTTCAGCGGTAGATACTGAGGATCGTCTTTGTGCTCTTCAAGGTAGTTTGAGAAAGAGTTGGCAACAGCTATCCAAATCCTTATCAGCAATAAGCTCTTCTCGTGTCACTTGTGGCGTACCATTCGAGCCGTGCAGGTCGGACTTGAGTGAGGCATACCAGCCAATAGTGAGGCGGCGAGTAGAGAAAGATTCCGTAAGTTTGGTAAGTGTAAGCTTAATACAGTGAATTGTCAGCGGGTTGCAGTAGTAACGCACTGCATTCATCACTCACTTGAGCCATGAGGAGAGAGACTTCGGCTTCGGTGTCGACTAATAGTCCGGCAAAGTTGATGGGCAACAAAGGTCGACAGTAGTTTGTTGGGAGAGGTTTGAAGTGCTGAATGTAGCCGGTGGTTCGAAGATGACCAAACCCTGACCTGTGAAGCGTAGTGTATTGCTTGTTAGGTGCCACGTAGCCAATTAAGAAAGAGAGGCCCTCACTCCCCACAGTCCAGACACACAACAAAGCCACGCGTCCCAGGCTTCTTGGCCTGCTCCCTTTCTTGCTCTTGCAGTTCTCGAGACTTAAGCTCCTGGTCAGTGCTCGGTGGCAGACCGGCAATTGAGAGAGAAGCAAGTTGTGGGGCTGACGCAAGTGTGGAGGTTGAGGTAGGCTGTTCGACGATGTATCCGCTGAAGGCTTGTTGTCGGACTTGACGCTCTTTAATAGTAGCCTCAGTTGAATGCGCCATGCTGATCTTCCTGACCATCCAGTCCGTGTCAGATTCCATCCTGTGAGCGGTGTCTTCAGTTTGTGCCCAGATGTCGGGGTGATTTGGAAGGATGACACCGAGTCGTGCGCGGTTTGAAAGGTCTCGATCGAGGTGAACAAGAAAGTCGGAGATGTCAAACAAAGGATGAAAAGTGAGAGAGGCTGATTCAAGAGAAGTAGTAGAAGTTGTGCCCTTCCTCAGCTGCCTCATGCCCATTCCCGACTCCGAGACATTGCTGCTCGTGATGAGGGTGCCAATTGCTTGGCGGTCCCGAAGACAAAAAGTGATAGCTTTGGAGTGATTTGCTAACGCTCCACCACCTGTCTCAAGGCAGAGTAGAGAAATGAGAGGGTTCGTTTTGAAGTCAAGGCGTGGGTCGTGTGGTGGGATGCCGAGGGTTTCTGCGAGTTTAGAGAGACGAGCCTGCACATGTGCTGTCAGCGTACAGGTTGACAGCCATTTTAAAAAAAGAGAGGGACCTCTTGGTGCTCTTTGGCTGTGATGAGGTAGGGAACGGTGAACGGGGCAGCGTCGGCAGAAATGAGGAATACAAGAGCAGTTTCGGGAGACGAGCTTAGTCGAGAGTCAAAGTAAGGTTTTAGTAAAGAGGTAGCAAAAGTCTCAAGAATAACCGTAGAGAGACCAGTGTAAACCTGCCAAATGACCCGACCCGCAAGATCGTTCAAAACCCTTGAAACTAACGAGCCAAAGCAGCCGTTCTCCGGCGAGTAGCGTGACTGAAGAAGCTGAAGTCCTCCGTTTCTTGCGTAAAAGTGAAGCTCTTCTGGATCCGACTCGGAAAAGATCGAGGAAAGTTTTTTTGTCTGAGGATCGATGATGATGGGGCCGAGAGAATCATTTGAGTAGACTGGGAGCGGGGACTTCGATTGAAGTGGTGCAGTCAGCCATGCCTTTGCGCCAATTTCGAGAATCTGTGACGGCTGAGGAATGTTTCGAGAGCCGGGTGTCGACATGCTCTTTTAAGAAAGTGGTCCGAAGTGTGTGGCAGGAGTGAGGCTCAATCAAGGCCACTGACGTGGGTACGTGGGGTGCTACTTTCCATTGACTGCTATCGCGGCCCCACATCTCTTTGCTGCTGAGACGTTCTCTCTCACTTCATTCAGTCTTCAAAGGACCACGGCAAGCAACAGAGCAAGAGAGGGAAATCGACGAGACGGGCTCCATGAGTCGCGCATCTCGTCTGGCTCTTCCGAGTTGCTGAGCCTTTCATGGCGTTGTGTGTGCCTGCGAAACGCTCAGTCCCAACTCAAAGAGGGCCTACAACAGACATTAGATTGCCACACATGTTCTAGTCTGTTCAGACTTTGTTCACTTTATCGTTCGTGCTGGTTTCGCGAGGCACTTTTCGTGCTCGAGTGGTCACTTCCCGCCCTGCCCACCTCCTTGCAAGCGCTATGTGAAGTGACTTGCAAGGTTGGTCTCACAAGAGCGGGTTGTCTCTTCCTCATCAGATTCCCCTTTCACTCCTTGGGCGCTCTTGAACTAGTCTCAACCCACGTAAACTGCACGGTACTGCATTTGGGTGTGCTCGGCGGTGGTCGCATCGCGAGCATCCATTCATTTGAGATGCGTTTGCTGGGCTTTTGGTGCTGTGGAGGCATAGCAGTAGAGGCTGACAACACCGATAAAGCGGTGCTCAACATAGACTCCAGAGCAGCCGTGACCATTCTTGTCGCGATGCCGATCCTTGACAGGCGCGTGTCCAACCTTGTCCACGGATGCACTGCGGTGGAAGCCTTTAGCCACTTGTTGAGCCATCAGCGTACTCAGTTCATGTGTCAAAGTGTTAAGGGCTTCATACGTGATCACATCTTTGTACTTTGAGAACTTTCAAGCGGGCGATTGATGAGGCTGCAAGCCGTTGAAAGAGCCCGCTATAGCTGGAGCTGTCAACGCTTTGTTCAACGCCTTGTTTTGCCACTCATGAGCACACAAACAAGTCATAACACCAGGAATTGGAGCTAGTCTAGCATTCTGAATGCACCTTCGCACTTTTAATGCTGTTCACCGATCTCTGCTGTTCACCGCTTGTTTAATCAGTCGTCGCTTTGTGCACCGCACGATTGATATACGGCCTGAGTTAAGTCTGAGCTCACAAGTGGGAGAGAAAGGGCTTAACTTCATGTACCGATTATGACGAGTCAACACGCTCACGCGCACCTGGCCAGAGCTGTTGAAGTTGCACCTGCCACGTTGCCTGCGCCAGATGCTTCTGCGTTCGGCTCCGGCACGGCAACATGACCGTACGTTGCCGAGCTTCACATCACAATTGTCTTTGTAGAGAGAAAGCACCATGTGCCGCTAGAGTCAAAGCTATGTTCTAGTGCTTCGAACCCCTGCCTGAATAGGGAACTGGTCTCAGGCCGCCGCTTCAGTCGCTTCACAGCTTGTTCGAATTGCAGCAAGTTTATTGTGGGCAAGTTTTCTGAGCGTGTTCCAAGAAGTTTTGATAGTGATAGTGATAGTGATAGTAGAACCGTCTCGGCGCCAGAAAAGCAATAAGAGAGGTGGTTTTTTAGAACTTTGTACATGTCGGGATACAGCACTTTGATTCGGCAACGTCAATCTATCGGTGGTAGTATAGTGGTTAGTATGTGCGTTTCCCATCAAATGGCCCTCTTCCGAGGGAAATTACGCACGACGTGGGTTCGATTCCCGCCCATCGAATCTCAACTTTTTGTTTTTGGGGCCGGGGCCTTTGACAGATCCTGCCCTCGGGTTAGTGTTTCCGTTGGCCGTTTTTGTCATGTACACACATTCTCCTTTTTTCCTCCTCTAAGTTGAGACAATCCTTCCTTGCTTTTACGTCGATTGTCACCTCAATGGCCACGTGTGCTTATGAAATGGATGCACTGGGGACGATACAAGCGCATAGTGGTAACTACTTATACATTCTTGACCAAACATGAGAGCATCAAGTGAGTTTTGGATGCTTGACGCCCGGCACACGAGAGATGCGCCGCTGAGAAAGGGCGCCGCTCACGCCCCACGGCGATTCGGCTCAAAGCGTGCCTTTCTTCCAGCGCATTCCACGACTCAACCTTTCACCTCCACCCACCCACTTTTCTACTTTGAAAATGTCTTCGACCTCTGATCCTCCAGCGTCAAACACACAGACTGGTTTGGCAGCAAAGAAGCGGCGAGTCAGCATCCCGCGAAACCACTCTCGGAAAGCGTTTCAGCAAAGCAAAAGGGACCTCGCAAAAGGTGAGGCTGCGTACCTGACCTTCCAGTGACCTCACTGACTTGATTTAAACCAGCCGAAAAGGCTCAAGAGACCGAGCGTTTGGTCGCCAACTCGCTGCACGCCCAAGCTCCCGGCGCCGCTGGATCCTCCTCCGAACTCGCACCACTCGCCCTACCTCGTCGCGACCTGCTCTCGCTCTCAGAAAGAGTCAAAACTTTGGAAGAGCTCGACATACAGATCAAAAAACTTCTTGGAGGATCTGACGTTCAGATTCACTTGCTCGAACCTTCTACTGAGCTGAACCTTGCAGAAAGGTCATATGTGTCTGAAGCTAAAATTCTCGAACTTGAAGCTTTGGGAAGCATCCAAGTCTACAGAAACGGATATCACGTCTTTGCTATCCGCAAAGACGACGTGATTGTACCTGTCGGAGTTGTCAAGTTCAACCAGCGCTTTAACTTTTCACCTCAAGATCAAATTGATTACGATCGGATCTTTGAAGACGTGCCGGAGATGGCGAGGGTGATGCGCGAGGTGACCAGCAACGCCGCTCACAAAGGTGTGTTGTGAGAGAATTGTTCGTCCGAGCTCTGGCTGATGAGTTTTGCAGGCTTGCCAGGTTGGATGGGTGCCGGCGGAACGAGGCCGGGTCAAGACGGCGGAAAGAGCTTTGGAGTCTATGCAGCCGACGACGACGCGTTTGACTCGGCAGAAGACCTCGAGCTGCACCACTTCCGTATCCAGCGAGTTGGCGTGAGTACTGTACAACAGGTCACTCTCCCTCCGCTGACATTGCGCCGCTTTGTACAGGCTACTTTCTCTCGTCGTTTCCAAAAACTCCTTCCTTATGCTTTTGATATCAACGCCGTCAAAGGCGTCAACACGCCGTCTCTGCTTGGGTACCCCCTTTGGAAGGGCAAGAAGCGGAACGACGGTGGCGTCTTCTCGAATCTCACCGTGTTTGCGAAAGACACGAAAGGTCGCTACATGCAGAACCGCCTCCATCATGATAATGACGAGGGAGACTATGTTTACTCTATCACTTTTCACCGAGAAGTCACCCCTGCCGGAGACATCAAGCACATCAGCAACACCTCCCACCTTCGTGCCTCTACTTCTGGTGCGCCGCCGCCCTCTCCATTCTCTCAGATGCAGGACTAACTCCTTCAAGCAGGCGGATACTTGTTTTTTTCTCAACTCAAAATTGCTTTTGATCCTTCGGCATGCGACGGTTTTACCGAAATGATCTTTAGAGGACGCTGGGACCTTCACGGCACCCCTGCTTCTACCATCGCCGTCAACTACGACCGCTATGGAGCTTCAGCTCAGCTTACAAAATCTACTACCGATCGAATGGCCTCTAAAAAAAAACTCAACTCTTCAACTCAGACGGCTCGGTCAACACGTTGCGGTACCGCTCGCTCGAGAGCGAGCTCGCACGCTTTCCGTCGGGATTGGAGACGGACGAGGAAAGGAAGAGGTGGGAGCTCGAGAAGGAGGGTTTGAAGAAGGAGAGGGACTTATCTTGGGCCAAGGAAAGGGAGAAGATTGGGTTGGTGTACAGGGAGGGTGTCGTTGGGGAGGGAGATCAGGACGCGCACGAGGCGCCAGTGAGGGAGATGACGGAGCAGATGGAGAGGTTTGTAGTTGACTGAAGAAAGAAGATTCAAGTGCTTTGATGTGTCACTATGATTGGCCTCTTCCACGCTACTTGCCTCGGAAAACAAAATGAGTAAACCCACGTGTCCTTCTGTCGGCCTTACTCTCGTCCTCTCATCGTCACAACGCGCGAGCTTGTCAAAAGTATGACCAAAATCAAACGCATGTATTCCCCACCAATGCTATCTACAGCTGAGCCGAACCCCACGACGGCTTGGACGTTGTGATCGCCTCCTTCATCGTGTCCATGACGGCTGCAGGGTCCTTGGCGCCAAACAGGGCCGTGCCGGCGACAATGACGTTCGAGCCTGCAAGATCACACCCAAGTCAGTGTTGCAGTTTCGGTAGAGAGAGATGCTGGACCCACCGGCACGAGCACAACATCCGACAGTTCCGGGTCCCACACCTCCGTCGACCTGGATGTCCTTTGTCGGGAAACGAGCTCGCAGCTCGGCGACCTTGGGGACACACGACTCCATGAACTTCTGTCCTCCTTTGCCTATCCTCACTATGTGTTAGCTTTCCAGAGAGAGTCGAGGAAGAGGGGAGGGAAACGCACCGGGGACGACGGTCATGACCAAGAGCATGTCGACCGAGTTGCCGAGCTTGTCCGTGATGGCGGAGCTCGGTGTGTCGGGGGAGATGGCGACGGCTGCTCGCATTCCGGTGGCATGAATGGCGTCCACAATCTCGTGAGCTCGCTCTGGAAGTGCGGGTTTGCGGCGGAGGTCAACTTGCTTGCCGGAGATGCGAGGGAAAGCGAGACACGAACCTGGCTGTGCGAGAGCTTCGATGTGGAAGGTGAATGACTTTCCTCCAGCATCTGCCACGTCCTTGACCCACTGCGAAAGACCACCATCATCCCCCCGTCAGCTCGCTACTCTGGCGGAGCGGACCCCCACCGAATCGATCGCGCGGCGTCAACAAACGGTGGGGGCTAGGAAACGAACCTTGGCGGGGTCAGCGACCATCATGTGGCAGTCCATGAAGACGTTGGGCACGGTCTTGTAGACCGAAGCGAGGACGGGAGGGCCCATGGTGATGTTGGGGACAAAGTGACTGGCGAGGCGGAAGCGGGTCAGCGATAGCTCCCCCCGCCGCCCTTTGCTCCTCTCACGATCAAGCTGAAGCTCACCCATCCATGACATCTGCGCCAAAGTAAGCACTGTCAATAAAGAGAGGAGAGAGAATGACGAGAGGAAGGCAGCGGACCCATGTGAACCCATTCGGCGCCGTGCTTCATCATGCGTCGGATCTCGTTCGAGAGGTCGCCAAAGTCGGACGCGAGCACGGACGGCGAGATGATCGCTCGAGGGGCAGCAGAATCTGTCGACATAGTTGCGAGAGTGATGATGAGAGTTGTGGCAGAAGACAGAGAGGCGAGAGAAGGACCGCGAGGATGGATGCGGCGCAGGACAGGGGGTTTCGACTTGGGCTTGGGCCAGCTCGAGCCGTTCGGACTCTGCCTTTGCCCGTACGCAAACAATGGTGAGCACTACGGCTCTGAAGGACTGTGGAAGTTCCTACTGACAATAACTCGCTATAACGACTTGTTAGTCCGTCAACGACGCAGGTGCGTGCCCGTTCCTCTCGCGTGTCTGCGTTCACTCAACCCCCAGCTGACCACGCGCTTGCTCCTCGTCGCGCCCTCCCGTCCCTCCGTCCTCGTTCGCCAATCAAACACCAACGCTGACACCAACGAGCAGAAGCCAAGGAAGCGTTCGCACTCTTCGACAAGCGCGGTGCGGGCACCATCCCGAACGACAGTCTCGGCGACGTCCTCCGCGCTCTGGGACAGAACCCGACCCAGAGGGAGGTCGCTCAGCTCGCGAGCCAGGTTGGCCCTGATAGTCAGTCGTGCAGCTTACTCCCTTCCTGTAGAGGGCTGCTAACGAGTCCTGCCCCAACCGCCACAGTCTCGTACGACGCGTTCCTCCAAATCTTGCACCGCGAGGGAGGATTCGACCCTGCCGGCACGGCAGGTGCGCTTGTTTCCTCTCCCCTCCTACCCTTTAGGAACATCGAGCTCACCTCTGGAGATGCAGACGAGTTCATTCGAGGGTTCCAGGTGTTTGACAAGGACGGCAAGGGGTTCATTGGCCAGGGCGAGCTCAAGTACGTCTTGACCTCGTTGGGCGAGAAGCTCTCCGACGAGGAGGTCGACGAGCTCCTCAAGGGCGTTCAGGTCACGAGGTGCGTTACTTGCTTTCATAGCTCTTTCTTTTGCTGGGCAAAGCACGCTGTCGGAGCGAGGAAGGTAGGGGGGCGCGTGCTGACTTTTGACCTCCTCTTTCCACCATCCTCACGCGCCGCCTTTCGCCTCCGACCTCGAATCATCGTCCTATGACAACAGCGACGGCAACATCCACTACGAGACTTTTGTCCGCCAGATCCTCGGACAGTAATCGAACTTGCCCACGCCCACTCCTCGCGCTCTTACCTTCGTCTTTTCGTCATTTCTCCCCAGATCCCGTAGTTTTCTGTTCTTTTCGTCGCACACACATCCGCCCGCTCCAGCTGCTATACCATTTGATCATCTAGTGAGAAACCTGTTTCGCTCAGGGGTTCGCTGGCGGCTTTGGTGAGGTGAGCAATGGCGGGAAGTCAGGCGGCTCGAGAAGGAGGGCAGAAGGTCGGGGGACGAGCCTTTAGTCGAGAAGAGATCGTGATCGATCTTTTTCTCGACCTTGTGAGATTCCGAAAGAAAACACGCCCGACGTTAGTTCCTAGAAGCGTCGGGAATTCCACGTGGTCCGCCTCGCCCCCTCACCTGCTCAGAATATTTGGCGTCCTGTCGACTCGAATCTGAAAACATCATCAA